GTTGACCGATCTTTTGCTGCTGCTGCTGTTAGGGTTCTCGCTGCTGCTGCAGCTGCTACTACAGTTGCTGCTGCATTTGCTGCTGCGTTCATTGTGCTGCAGAGACTTTCTTTGGGAGCCCCAGATAAGGAACGTCAAGACTCCAGCAGCAGCAGCAGCAGCAGCAGCAGTAGCAGCAGCAGCAGCAGCAGCAGTAGCACCCCTCGAACCCATAGGAGCTCAGGCGTCACTCGACGCAAGTGAAATTACGTCTATAGTAGCAGCAGCAGCAGCAGCATTAGCAGCAGCAGCATTAGCAGCAGCAGCACTCGCAGCAGCACTAGCAGCGGCAGCAGTAGCAGCAGCAGCAGCAGCAGCATTAGCAGCAGCAGCCCTCGCAGCAGCACTAGCAGCGGCAGCAGTAGCAGCAGCAGCAGCAGCAGCAGTAGCAGAACTATCAGCAGCAGCAGCAACAGCAGCAGCCACAGCAGGGCCCCTGCTAGAGAGCCACTTGGGGCCCCCAGGGGGGCCCCCAGGGGCCCCCAGGGGCCCCAAGGGAGGCCCCAAGGGGCCCCCAATTTATTTCAACTTTGGCTTATTTGACTAAAGGTTTTTAATGTTGTTTTCATAAGAGGCCCCACACACAAAACCCTAAAAAGGGGCCCCCTTGGGGGCCCCGGGGGGCCCCCCAGCATCACTGTAGCTCAATTGGGGGCCCCCCTACTTCCTTGAATGGGGCCTTCTGTTCCCCTCAGGGGGCCCTTGGGGGCCCCCAAAGGGGCCCCATAAGGGCCCCCTAGGGGGGCCCCCCTTCGGGAGCCTTTGGGACCCTGTGGGGCCCCCTGGGGGGGCCCCCCTTCGGGACCCTTTGGGCCCCTGTGGGGCCCCCAAAGGGGGCCCCACAGGGGCCCCCATGAGGCAACCTCCTGGGGGGCCCCTTACAGGGACTTTTACAGATGGAAAAGGCTTTAGAGAGCACTAGAGGGGCCCCCTAGAGACTCCTTTGGGGGCCCCCTAAAGGCTCTTTTGGGGGCCCCCCTAAGGCTCTTTTGGGGGCCCTTTTAGGCCCTTGAAAGGCTTTTTGAGGGTCTCTTAAAGGCACTTAAAGGGGGCCCTTGAGGGGCCCCGTCAAATCCTTCTGGGGGCCCCTTGGGGGCCCCCTAAATACCCCTTTGGGGCCCTCTGGGGGCCCTTTGGAGGCGCCTTTTGGGGCCCTTCAACGGCTTTTGGGGGGCCTTTAGGGGCCCTTTGGAGGCCCCTTTGGGGGCCCCTTGAGGGTCCTTTGGGGGCTCTTTGGGGGCCCCTTTGGAGTCCTTGAGGGGCCCCCAAAAAAGGGGCCCCCAAAAAAAGGGGCCCCCAAAAAAGGGTCCCCTCTTGGGGGCCCTCTTTTGGGGTTTCCTACGGAGCCCCTGGGGGCCCCCTGTGAGGCCCCGAGGGTTTGCTGCGGCTCCGGCTAAGGGTCTCTTGGGGGCCCCCCACTTTGGGGGCCCCCTCTAGGGGGGCCCCTCCTTTGGGGGCCCCCTCTAGGGGGCCCCCCCTAGGGGGCCCCCACTAGGGGGGCCCCCTAGGGGCCCCCCAGGTCTGCTGCTTGTGCTTGAAAGCCCGTGGGGCCCCCAACTTATTATTATTTTCTGGTTTTATTTCTTTTCCTTTGGGGCCCCTCTGGGGGCCCCCAAAGTCCCTTTCAATAGAAATGACTGTTTTGAATGTCTACAGGCAGCGAGGCAAACACAGTAAGGTCTGTGTCTTCGGGGGCCCCCGGGGGCCCCCCAGGGGGGCCCCCAGGGGGGCCCCCCGGGGGGCCCCCCGGGGGGGCCCCCCAGTGCACTATTTCGCCTAGGGCCCCGCTGCCTGGGGTGGCTATGGTGTAGGTAGTTGGGAAGTCGCATGCAGCAGCAGCAGCAGCAGCAGCAGCAGCAGAGGCGTAGCTGCAGCAGCTGTGAGAGGGCCTGCGCAAAAGACTGGCGGGGGTGGGGGCCTCTGTGGGGCCCCCCGCGTTGCGGCTGCGGCTGCTGCTGCTGCTGCTGCTGCTGCTGCTGCCAGCAGGGGCCCCACACACCTGCTGCTGCACATCCGCTGGCTGCCAGCAAAACGAGCTGTAACTCCCGGGGCGCCCGCTGCGAACAAAGCAGCAGCAGCAGCAGCAGCAGCAGCAGCAGCAAAAGCACCTGTAGCCGCAGCAGTAGCAGCAGCGGCAGCACTTGTAGCAGCAGCAGCAGCAGCAGCGCTGGCAGCAGCAGCAGCAGCAGCAGCACTTTCAGCAGCAGCAGCAGCAGCAGTAGCGCTTTTGGCACCAGCAACAGCAACAGCAGCAGACCGCCAGTCACCGCCAACACCAGCAGCCGCAGCAGTTAAGGGCACAAGCAGCAGCTGCAGCAGCAGCATCACCAGCATCGGCAGCAGCAGCAGCAGCAGCAGCAGCACAATCACCAGCAGCAGCAGCAAACCATCACCAGCAGCAGCATCACCACCGCCATCACCAACAGCAGCAGCTTTAGCACCACGATCAGCAGCAGCAGCAGCAGCAGCGTCACCACCACCACCATCACCAGCAGCAAAAGCAGCAGCAGCAGCAGCAGCAGCAGCAACAGCAGCAGCAGCAGCAGCAGCAGCAGCATATTTACTAGTCCGACTTCTCGCTGAACGGCGGTGTGCTTATATCGAAGGTGTCTTCCGAACTTGAGGGGCCCCTTGGGCTTGGCAGAGTTTTAAGTGCTGCTGCTGCTGCTGCTGCTGCTGCTGCTGCTGCTGCTGCTGCTGCTGCTGCTGCTGGAGAAGAGCAAGGCGGGGCCCCACTTGCTGTTGTTGACACGTCATGCGGGCATATGTCTGCTGGGGAGGGCAGCCGCAGCCTGCTGCTGCTGCTGCTGCTGCTGCTGCTGCTGCTGCTGCAGTGCCTAGCAGCAGCAGTAGTCCACCCCCAGCGGCCCACGAGAAACGAGCTGGAGTCGGGGTATTCTTCTTCTGTTTCCACAACAACTGCTGCTGCTGCTGCTTCTGCTGCTGCTGCTGCTGCTGCTGCTGCTTGTTTCCTCCGGACGCGTCTTGCTGCTGCGAAGCAGCAAAACGTAAACAAGCCAAGAACAGCAGCAGCAGCAACTACACATCCCGCAACAAACAGGGGCCCCCACTCCGCTTTGGGGTGCTGGGGGGCCCCCAAGGGGGGCCCCTCCTCCAGGGCCTTTAAGAGGTACAAAGGCGAGTTGCTGGGGGCCCCCAGGGGGCCCCCCGGGGCCCCTGGGGGGCCCCCAGAAGGGTTGTGGGGCCCCTCTCCCCCCGTGCTGCTCTGAAGGTCCTCAAACTCTTCACTTGCTGCTACTATTGCAGACAGGGGCCCCCCTACAGGGGGCCCCCCTGCACGCAGCAAGTGGGGGCCCCCCCCAGGGTCCGTTTTGGGGGCTCCGTCGGGGGCCCCCTGGGGCCCCTGGGGGGCCCCTTGGGGGCCCCCCACAGGCTCCCGGGGTGCCCCCTGGGGGGCCCCCTCGGGGGCCCCTTGGGGGGCCCCATCCTCTGCATGCAGAGGGCTGGAGGCAGCAGGAAAGGGGCACATAGGGAGGGCAAAAGAGAGCAAGAGGGGGCCCCCTAGGCGCAGCAGGGGGCCCCCCAGCCTCAGCAGCAAGCCCCCGAGGAGCTGCTGGGGGCCCCCAGAGGGGCGAAAGGGGGGCCCCCCTGAAGTCAGGGGGCACCAAAGGACGGCCATTGAAGAGTTTGGGGGGCGGGGGGAAAGCTGGAGAAAAAGGAAAGCAGCAGCAGGGGTGACCAGTGGTCAGGCGGTGGTCCTGGGCGGGGGGGGAGGTGAGACCATTCGAGGTAAAAGAGCTGAAAAAGATGGAAATGTTGAAGAATTCCTGGAATTAATTCATTTAAATTTAATTATAAATTTAATTATTAATTGTTAGCAATTAAATAATTACTTTTATTCGCCCGGAAGACACTCAGTTCGAGCAGCGGCGCCGCAGAAGGAGCTGCTGCTGCAACACCTCGGAGTTGTTCTGGGGTCAAAAAGCAGACAAAAACCACTTCTTGAATTTTTTTAAATTAATTTAATTAATTAAATTAATTAAATTAATTAATTTCACTTATTTGGCCTTTAATTCAAACCCATCACGCCTCCTATCCCTTTCTTCAAAACAGAACTCCTCGAACGCGCAGACGCGGACTCCAAACCCTAAACCCTAAACCCTAAACCCTAAACCCTTCTCTCGCCCTATATGCTCGCACAGGGGCTTCAAAGAAAGATATTTTGCTGCCTCAAAAGCCAAAAGTTTTGTCCAAATGAGCAGCTTTTTGTAAACCCTCAACTTCAACAAGTTAAGAGCTTTTGCCTCTTCAGGCGCAGCAGCAAACCCTCTAATTCGCCTGCAAATCTGCAGCAGCTAGCTAGCTGGCTAGCTAGCCAGATTGAGCTAGCTAGCTAGCTAGCCAGATTGAGCTAGCTAGCTAGCTAGCTAGCTATCCGGCCAGGTCGAGCTAGCTAGCTAGCCAAGTAATTAGCTAGCTGCTTAGATAGCTAGCTATCTAATTAGCTAGCTAGCTAGCTAGCTAGTTAACAGGGCAGCTAGCTATGTCGACAGCTTTATAGCAAGGTAGCTATGTACCCAAATGGCTAGAAAGATAGCTACTCAGCTAGCTAGCTAGCTAGCTAGTACTCAGCTGGCTGGCTAGCTAGCTAGCTAGCCAGCCAGTTAGCTGGCTAGCTAAATAGATATATAAAAAGCGAGTTAAAGAGCCAGATGGGTGGCCAGCTAGCTAGCTAGCTAGTTAGCTGGCTGGCCAGCTATTTAGCTAGCTAGCCAGCTAGCTAGCTAGCCTTAGTTCTCGAAGAAGGGCGCCGGTAGCTAGCTGTGGTTGGCTGTTGCTGCACTAAAATTGCTGCTGCTGCTGCTGCGGCTGCTGCTGCTGCTGCTGCTGCTGCTGACCATGCTGCTCTGTTGAGAAAAAAAGAGCCCACATGTGCTTTAAAAAATTTGACAGTTTCCTAAACCCTAAACCCCAGACCCTGAAGCCCAAACCCTAAACCCTCGAGGGTTTAGGGTTTAGGGTTAAAATCATTGTTGCAGCAGCCCAGGGTTCATCTGCTGCTGCAAGGGTCTTCAAACTAAATGTAAAATATTCTTCACAGTGCAAGCAAAACACAATAAGTGGCAGCAGCAGCAGCAGCAGCTGCTGCTGCTGCTGCTGCTGCTGCTGCTGCTGCTGCTGCTGCGGCTTGGGCTGCTGCTCCGTACAAAGGCACAGCAGCAAAGGCCAACCTGAGGAGGCAGCGCCATGGTAGCTGCTGCTGCTGTTGCTCCCGCTGCTGCTGCTGCTGCTGCTGCTGAATGTTGAGTTCCCTGCGCTTCCAAACCCTAAACCCTAAACCCTAAACCCTAGACCTGACCCCGCGTGCTAGACCCTGAAGGGCAGAAGCTGGGATTTTGGGCAGTGCGCGGGGAGCTGCAAGCCGCAGACCCTAAATTAGGGTTTAGGGTTTCGCGCGCAGGCAGTCGGCGGAAACCCTAAACCCTAATTTAGGGTTTAGGGGGACAGGAAACCCTAAACCCTAATTTAGGGTTTAGGGAGACATGTGGTGGGGCTCGGGAATCAACAGACGCGCAGGGTAAGTGTAAGAAGACAGCAGCGCAGCACCAGATATTATGCAAACAGATCCAAAAATAAAAACATAAATTGCTGCTCCTCGAAGTTCTCTGTAGCAGCAAATGCCCCACAGCCCCGAAAACACCACTGCGCTCTGCTTCGTCGGGTACGCCACCTGCAGCAGCAGCAGCAGCAGCAGCAGCAGCAGCAGCAGCAGCAGCAGCAGCAGCAGCGGCAGCAGCAAGGGACAAGTAGGAATAAATGAATATAAAATGATAATTCGTAAGCAGCCAGGAATATCAGAAATAAATTGGAATGAAAGAGGAAAAGACACAAAATAAAAGAAATGCTAAAAACTGGTTTGTGAGATCGGCTGGCAGCAGCAGCAGCAGCAGCAGCAGCAGCAGCAGCAGCAGCTCTGAACTTGCCGAAAATGAAATCCCTGAAACGCAACGCAGCACAACAAGGCGCCGCATTCATGTAGCAGCAGCAGCAGCAGCAGCAGCAGCAGCAGAATCTGCTGCAGCGGACGAACTACGAGCAGTTGCAGCAGCAGCAGCAGAATCTGCTGCAGCAGCCGAACTACGAGGCGCTGCAGCAGCAGCTCGCGCGGCAGCAGCAGCAGCAGCAGCAGCAGCAGCAACAGCAGCAGCAGCAACCCACTGGGTATGGCCAGAATGACGCAAATTGCTGACAAGAAGTACAAAGCCCCTGAGATGAAGGCTGGCAGCAAAGCTTGTTTCAAATAAAAAGGAGGAAGAGGCTTTTTAAGAATTAAATAATATGAAAATAAACAAAATAAAGAAAATATTGTTGCTGCACACACGCCTGAACACACGCCCGCATGCAAAGACACAAACTTCACCCTCCCCAGCAGCAGCAGCAGCAGCAGCAGCAGCAGCAGCAGCAGCAGCAGCAGCAGGTGACAGGCCCCTGCAGCAGCAGCATTACCAGCAGCAGCGGCATTACCAGCAGCGGCCGCACTAGCAGCAGCAGCAGCATTGCCAGCGGCCGCCGCACTACCAGCAGCAGCCGCACTGCCACCACCCACAGCAGCAGCAGCAGCAGCAGCAGCAGCAGCAGCAGCAGCAGCAGCAGCAGCACACCGATCCCGAAGCTGGGGAGAAAGGCGATCCCCTTGGCCTCAGGCAGCACAAAAGTCATGGGCCCCAAAGAGGCCCCCCCAACAATTCCGGAGACAAAAGAACAAAGAGTTCCAACAGCTCGTCGGCAAGCAGCAGAGTTTGCTGCTGTTGCTGCTGCTGCTGCTGCTGCAGACTGCCCTCCTGCAGCAGCAGCAGCAGCAGCAGCAGCAGAGCCCCTTCTTGAGGACCCCTCAGGGGGGCCCCCCACAGACAGCAGGGGGGCCCCGCTGGCCCACAAGGATTCGGGGTCTCGCTGCAGAGCTTCCTCTGTGCTGCTGCTGCTGTTGCTGCTGCTGCTGCTGCTGCTGGGGAGCAGCGGGGCGGACGGCGTTTGCGCTGCGTCTGCTGCTGCTGCGGCGGCGGCAGCTGCTGCTGCAGTGGGAGGAGCTGCTCCTGCTGCTGCTGCTGCTGCTGCTGCGCCAGGCTTCTTAGCTTCACCGGAGACCCCAAAGAAATCATTGTCAGGGGGGCCCCCTGCAGCAGCAGAGGGGCCCCCGGGGGCCCCCCAATGTGAAGTTGCTTCTTCAGCTGCTGTTGCTGCTGTTGAGCCCGTGAAAGTCAAATCATAGAAAGAGCCGCGGCGAGAGGGGGCCCTATCGTCTGCAGCAAATGCAGCAGCAGCAGCAGCAGGAGTTGCATCCTCAGCAGCAGCAGCATGCAGCAGCAGCAGCAGCAAGAGCAGCAGCTCGCAGCAGAACGAGCCGCATCGGCAGCAGCAGCGAACAAACCCCCCAAAAGCCCCACCCACCACCCCACCAACAGCAGCAGCAGCAGCCCCCACCCCCAGCAGCAGCACGTC